CGCAGGAGGTGGCTCCGAGGCAGCAGACGGCGAGCGGGGACGGCGGCTGCAGCAGCGGGGACCCGTCACCGTCCCTGGCCGCCCGCCCGCAGCGTCCCTGGCACCCGCGAGGGGCTTCGTCCCGGCAGGGACCCGGGCACGAGACCCGCCGCCAGCACGAGGGACTCATCCTGCCCAGGATGCCACGTGAGCCACGGGCCCCCGCGCTGCCACCGCCCCGCACCCCACGGTGCAACCCGGATCTCCCAGGGGAGCAGGCAGAGCGGCGGCTTCGCCGGGCGGGGAAAGGGTGAAGGAGGTAAATGGGGTTCACACCCCAGATCCAAAGGGACTGTGCCTTGGCGGGGTGCGCTCTGCCTCCTCGTCACCGCGTGAACACGGGGGAAACCCTGCGAGAACCCGCCCGACGCCTGCGAGGGGACCCATCACTGACAAGTTTCCAGCAAAACTTTACAAAAAAAAAAAAAACAGGGTGAGATTAGGGTCAGGGGATGGAGAAAAATGGTGTAGAAAAAGCTCAGAAGAATTCGCTGTGATTAGATGAGCCACGTGCACATCAGTAAAAATTAATATAACTGACAGCAGCAACATCAGAAAGAGAAGAGGCATCACTCCAGGGTGAGAAGAGTGTCCGAGCTGGCGGGGTGATGCATATTAAACAACCTTCCCCTCAGCTGGGTGCCCGATTAACACTCACCCACACAGACCCAGTTAGAGACTCTGCCCAGCTCTCGGCTTCGCCCCTCCAGCCCCAGACCTGATTTTAACCAAATTTAAGGTTTTCTCCGAGTCCCAGGGCGTCCTTCACACACCAGCCCCGTACGCTCAGTTCTTCTCCTGCATTTCTGCACCAGAGCAGAGATAACTGCCCCCCCGGCACACCGGGCAGGAGGGGGGTCTCGGTGGGAGGGGGGTCTCGGTGGGAGGGAGGGGGTCTCAGCATCCCTGGAGATAAGCACTTGTGGATCAAATGAAAGAGGAGGCCTGCCCGCCTCCCCTGCTGCTCGGTGGTAGGTTTGACAGTTTTTTCTTCGCAGTGTAAGGCATATACTACTACAGCTAAATTACAGTTGCAAAAGATACATTTGCATGCAATTATCCATTTTAAAAGGCGGCAATAAAGTCAAAGGAATTTACTTAGACACAATCTGCTCTCCAGACGCTGTCCTCACAAGACCTAAGCACAAATCTCCTAGATCACTGCAATAGTCAGTGCAGCTCCTGCCAGGAAGCTAAACCATTCCCACATCTTCCCATTAACTCAGCTCTGGCCCATCAAATATTAAAGAGCCTCAAGCCTGGACACAGCTTGTTTTACAAAGGTCAAGTAAATCTTTCATCTCTTCCCTTCCCACCTTTATCTTTCACCACCGTTCCCATCATCAGATGAGCATCACATGCTCTTTCATGTGAATTTTAGCTGTACACACACTGACTGTTGGTAATTGGTGTACAAGGCTCCTCTGTTCCAGAGACATGATCATTTCATTGCTATTTTTGCTTTATAAGGCTAAAGCAAGAGGTGACTCTTTGCCTGAAGGAGGGACTTTTTTTATTGATTTTTTTTTTTTTTTTTTGAATACCCCATGGTTTCTCAGTACATCCCACTGGTGATACCAAAGAGAGAACAAGCAGAGGGCTGGGGAGCCGGCAGCAGGCGAAGGGCTGGCTGACCTATGCGGGACATCACCCGGACAGCTTGCTCCCGAGGAGTCTGGCTGATGGAGGAGGAAGCCCCCCACGGGCCCCATTGCACCTTCTCACCCCCAGTGTCCCCAGTACGAGGGTTTCCTGGGGCAGAGGGGGCTCGGGGGTCCCTGCCCGGCCCCTCGGCACCCCTGCACTTGCTGTGCCACCTGGGGTTAGTGCAGGGCAGACGGGAGAAGCAAACTCACCAGGCAAGCTCGTCTGGCTGGGGATGATTTCTGGTAGGCAAACATCCCTTGATGGGCTGATGTTTTCCTCCAGGGTGACCTCCCCGCTCGGGAAGTGGGTTTAGCTGCCACTTGGCTCAGCTCTTCCCTTCCCGGCAGCACGGCCTGACATCAAACCTCACCACATTTCAGAAGGTCTGCATGAAGCCGTGCCCCGAGGAGCTCCAAGGTACCGCAGGAGCACCCTGCCAGCCCCGAGATGCCGCGAGCTTTCTGCAGAGACTTGATGCGACGCACGAAAACCTCAGCACCAAGCCAGGGGTTGGAGGGCTGCTGCTGGACACCATGCCCCGTTTGCCAGCCTGGGGCGTTCAGTTGCCCCCAGCACTTTCCCATGAAGCAGGTAAGGAATAACAAAAAAAACTTAACAGAAAACCAAGGATCGCGATGGAATCGGTCTGTGCCAAAATCCTGGGTCCACACGTGCCAAATCCCATTTAGGTGCCCAAGTCTCCATCCCGCAGCACCCCAGGGCTGGCCCCGGCGCCCGAGCCCCACAGCACCAGCTCCTGCTGCCACCCCCGGAGACGTGCACCCCCCCAAAACGCCGTGAGCAGAGTATTTCCAGGCCCTCCCCCAGGCTCTCCAGCAGCCCCCAGCCACACCAGCGGGACCGTGCCCGAGCTCTCCGGAGCAGCCCAAAACTCGGCTCTGCCCCAGAGCAGCGGTTCCGAGAGCTGGGGGCGGCCCGGTGAAACCCAAAGCGGCAGGACCGGGCACACGAGCTCCCAGTTGGAGAGCCGACGCTTTCAGACCCTTCTGCCCCGGCAGGACGTGGGCACAGCCAGACCCAAACTCACCAAAACTTCCTGGGCATTTCCGAGGCTGAGCAGCGAACCGTTCAGCAGCAGCTGCCCGGGGATGCTCGGTCCTTGGCAAGGCTGCCCCCGCCCGAGCACGGCCCCGGTACCTCCCCACGGCGCCCGTCACCCACCGGGGCCAGCCGAGCCCCCAGCCGTGGCGCCGGAGATCTCCATCCATCCCCTCCCCTCCACGCTCCCGCTCCGCAATGTCGACTCCTTCTCTCCAGTTCCAGGTCCCTTAGACATATTCATGGTTACCATAGGAACTAATGAAACCCAAATTAAAAAAAGAAAAAAAAAAAAAAAAAAAAGGAGAGACAGACAGAGGGAAAAACGCTTTGATGCTCTAGTGGCACCCACGGGTGCGAGTTTATCCCGAGGAACACCGGGAGCAGCGGCCCGGCTCCCCCCCGGGCCGAGGGGCTGGATGCTGCCCCCGCAGACAGCCCTCCCCCGGGGCACGAGGGGGGCTCTGGCAGCCCCCCACCCGGCTGGGACCCCCGCCACAGCCGCCACCACGCGCTGCTCCTCCCCTGCCAGGCTCCTGCAAGTCAATATTGATGTTTGCGGCACGCACAAGGCTTTGTGAAGTGCTCCTTGGCTTGCCGAAAGCAGCTTGTCTTTTTGTTAACGAGTTATACAGTGAAAGAAAATTGCCTACGCCTGGTATCTTAGCCAGAAGGCTGCAGCAATAATAAGAGGGTGTTAGAAAACCAAAACTATTTTTTTTTTAATTTATTTTTTTTCTAGTTTTAAAAGCTTTTACAAATATCTAATGTGTCTCTGGCTGAGCCCCAATTACAGAACCATTTAATGAAGCAATCTGTCCACAAACCAGAAGCATTATGAGGCTGTGGAAAGTATTAGCTGCAAATAGCCAGGATAAAACAACTCCGGTGGATGCTCATCGAACGCCCTGAGCAAACCCCCTCCTCTGGCCAGGGCAGCGGGGACGGAGGGATAAATGTGCCCCCAGACCCTCGCCCCTGCCTGAGCAGGAACGCGGCAGTGTGCCCACGGCATGGCACAGCGCTGTGAGCATGGCATGGGGGGGAAAGGAGGTTAAACGGTTATTTCTGCAGCAGAATTGGTGCACAGGCCCTGGGAAAAAAAAATCAGGGCACAGCATACGGCAGCGTACAAGGAGCAGTTAAATCCTCCTGAGCTCCACGGGAAGTGGAAAGTCTACTGAGATTTCCCTCCACTCCCAAAAGTGGTAAACATTGATTTAAACTTCTCATTCGTTCAGCAAAAGCCTGAGCAATGCGTGTAGGAACAGCGTTTCTGTTGTGCTATTTACAATGGGCATTTGCAGGCTCATTCAGGCAGCAGGTTCCCCCAACGCTGTCTGTATACTTCTCCATTAATAAATAATTTGCACAAGTAATGATTATAGAGGGAAACCGCCTGAGCTGTTACCCGCAGACATTACCCTGAGCTCAAGGGAGGCTTGGCCAGAATATTTCTGTATCAGCACGTGCTTTCGCTGGCAGTCGGAGCCGCACGTGTGCTCACGATGGAAACCCCCCGACTCGGGGAGCTCATCCACAAACCAGCAGCACCATTCCCAGCCCCTTCTCGCCCGCTCTTCCCCCCCCAGTGACGACGTGGTGATCCCCCCCGGCTCGCTCCATGGCAGGGCAGGATCTGGCCCAGCCTCGCCGCAGCCACGCAGCCCACGCTGCCAGCTTTCAGCAAGGCCAGGGCAAACCCGAGATGGACCCGCCAAGCGATGCCACCGGCCCACGGACCCTCCTGCGCCCCAAGAGCATCTTCACCCCTTGCAACGCCCAGAGACCCGCCCCCCCCCGCCGGCAGCAGGGGACCAGGAGCTGGGTGACAAGCACAGACACCCACTACCCCACCGACACCCACCCCCTTTCCAGACTGCAAGAATCAAAAACAAAGGAAAAAAATAAAAAAGAAAACAAACACAACAAAACAAGTGATGCTTCACTGAATTTACAGCCTGCAGCTTGTCCTGCCGGTTTCTGCCCCCCGCAAGGCAGAGCTGGTGCCCCGTGAATTGCGCTGCCCGTGCCTCAACCCACCGGTCCTACAGCGAGTGTGTCGTTGTGCTTATTATAACCACCCAGCACACGAAGCACCTTGGACTTCACGGGAAAACGAGCTGCGGGACACGCACAAAACTACCTGCAGGAATAGGCAGATGCGGCTATAGACAGAGCTGGGCCTGGGAAGGCAGCCCAGAGGCGCCTCGCAGGGAAATCGTTTTGCACGCGAGAAGAGCGCGGGTACTCACTTGATCTTCAGGCTGGCGAGCATCGTCTTGTCGATCCTGGGGAGAAAGCAGAGGGGCAGGTCAGTGCGGGCGCAGGCGGGAGGGCTGTCCCTGCTCCCACCGGGGACCGGGGGCTGCTGCCAAACCCGGCCCCAGCATCGCCTTCGGAGGTGCCATCCGTCTGGCCAACGTGACGGTCACCACAGGCAGACTTGGCCAGAAAACAAAACCAACCGAAATTTAACCCAAAGTGCAGCGTGGCGGCAAGTGAAATTATTTCCTGGCGGTGACCAGCGGAGAACTGCCGCCTCCTCCTCCAAAATGCCAAAAATGAACTGGGCACTAGAGGAGATCACCCACGTCCCAGCTCTCGCCAACGCACCGGTTCACGTCTCCCACAAAACACATAGTTAAAGACAACAGACCCGGCGTGCCGGGAGGATGACCCCAAACCCCGCGAACTCGGCCCTGCAGGCTCGGGAGAGGCCCGGCCCGACAGGGAAGGAACAAGGCTGCGGCGAGGTGCAGGGTTCCCGTACCCGGCCGGTTGCTGCCTGAGCTCAGGCTCGTCCCTGCACCCCGGCCCCGGCCGCTGACTTTCCCTCTTCCTTCCCCCCTTCCTGCCCGCAGCCACCAGCGCCCGCGCCGGGAGCCCCCGTCGCCCCACTTACTTATTTGGCACGGTTAAGAAGTGCCTCCACAGGAGGAGACGATGGTTCTTTCCTCCACAGAAACGTTGTGGTTAAAGCCATATTAATATTAATTGATGCAAATCATAGTAATGTTTCAAAATGCAAAATGATGTCTTTTGGCAGTCATTGCAAACACTCTGTTATCTGCCACATGGCATTAACTCCACATCCCTACAAAAATTTAAAAACCCACCCAAAAAAAACCCCCCAAACCCCACATGTTTTGCACTGCGATTGCAGAGGACACGGCAAGGCTGCAGAAATGCAGTTTCCCACTACTCGCAGCTTTACCTCCTCCGCTGCCAGGCTGAACTTCTCTATCAGGAGGAGGCTGCACCCACATGTGACGCAGCGGGGCCGGATCCCCTGGGGCAGGAACCCCCCGTGGGGTGTCCCCGCTCCCCACGGGCCAGGGCGAAGCCACCCTGCGCACCCCAGCTGAACGCCGGCCCCTCCTGCCCACCCTGCCAGCACGCACCACGACCCTCCCCGCAACCCAGACCCCCAGGGATCTCTCAAACCCCAAAGGCCACGGGAGCCTCGTCCCAGGCATTTCCCCAAACACCAGCCCCTGTGCTGCGCTCCCGGAGAGCCGGCGCGCTACCGCTCCTGAAAATAGAGCCAGGGCTCCCCCGCTGCTGTCACTTAATACTCAGCAAGTCTGTCCGCAGACCTCGTTGATCATTAAATCAAGTTGAACATTAAGGTGTGCGGGTGGAAATTGCTGTTGCTGAACTGGGTGGCAGATGCAAACGGGCCACGGGGACAGTGGGTGGCTGGGGCAGGTCCTGCACGGCCGGTGCCGGAGCGGGGAGCTGCACCGAGCAGCAGCACCCAAACCGCAGGAAGAAAAGCCAGGTGCTGTTATTCGGCCTCTTGGAGAGAAAAAAAAAAATAAATAAAAAAATAAAAAATAATAGAAACACACAAGAAAGAAAATCCTCTGCTTCGGAAACCGCAGTTGCAATATGACTAAGTTACAAGAGCCGCTTTGTCAGGCCCTGCCCTGTGCCCCCTCCTGAGGTGGGGTGAAGTGAAACAGCCTCCTCCCTGTGCACCCCGGCACGGCCCTGGGGCTCCCCGACAGCACCAGAAAAGGGGGTGTCTCCCCCCACTGCCGCCGCAAGCAGCACCTGGGGGTAAGGAGCAGCTGGGCGCTGACGGCCTGGGAAGAGGGGGGACGAGGCTGGCACCCACGTCGGTCACTGGGGCCCCGGTGAGCCGAGACGGGGGTGCAGGCAGGGGCCACACACCCCCACGGCTTCGCATCGCCCGCCACGTGCATCCCCAACGTCCGCTGCCCGGGGCGGGCGCGCTCCTCCCGGGCCCTCGCTGGCAGCAGAGGTGGCCGGTAGATGGAACAAAAACCCGATTTACACCCCAGCGGAGGGCTGGAAATAGCAACTGCAGCTATGGGAAGCGGCGACGGGGTGTGCCGGGCCGCCCCACACGCGGTCCCCACAGGAAGGGTGTGTCGGCCGCGGGCGGCCGTGGGAAGATGCCGCCGCAGGTACGGGGCCGTGGCGAGTCCCTTCCTTTCCCACAAACGCCCGGGGAAGCGTCTGCCCGGCTCTGCGCTCTCCGGGCGACGCGTGACTGCGAGGGAGGGGGTCTTCCCCAGGGACCCGTGCTCACCAACCCCACTTGGGAGCTCCCCCACTGCAGCAAAGGGCTCCCCCCTGTACCCCCAATCCTTCCTTCTCACTGTGCAGACGCTGATGCTGATATTTAAAGGAAAGCTCACGCCCTGCTTCCCCCCAGCCACCACAGCCCCCTAACAGCCAGCAGACCACATCTTCCTGCGCAACTCTCCAGCTCGTGGTTATCTCTTTCCTGCAACTGCCAAACTGCAGAAAAAAAAACAACCAAGCAAAGCCCAGACACCCCGAAGGCTCCATCGCAGCGCGAAGCTGCTCCCGGGAGGTGCCCGGTGTGGTGGCAGCCCCCAGAGCCGCCGCTCCCGACAGCGGCTGCAGGGCAAAGCTCCCCAGGAGCCGCAACTTCTCTCTGCCGCAGAATAAGCCCACGTTTCACAAAACTTATTTCTGCAGTTTATCAGAGTGCTTCCTTCCCATTTTTATGAAAAGAAAAAAATAAATAATCCAGCTGAGACAAAACGCTTGGCTTCAGCAAGGCATGTGCTTCTATTCCCAGGGGACTCTGCCAAAACCCTCGGTCTGTTCGTTGCCCTCCCGTTACTCAGCATTTCCCCCAGCAGGTTTCAAGCAGCTCCAAGCCCACCGGCACAAGCCCCCGAGCTCCCAAAGCCCCCAGGGCCCCCGGCTGCCAGACCCCAGCCCCTACAGCCACTGTGGCCTGGGGAAGGGAAAGCAGAGCGACCCTCTGCCCTGGACCAAAGAGCCAAAATTCATCACCAAATTGCTGATGCAGCCACCAATTCCCATGGCCTGATCACAATCACACAGCATGGAACGGGCATAAAAACCTTAGGGAGGGAAAATGGAGGAAGGGGAAAGGGAGAACAGTGCCATTTTCTTGAAGTATTTCCCCATAGATCAACACATCTCAGAGGGAAGGGATGTGAGAAGCAGACAGTCCCGCTGAACCCGGGGTGCGGGTGGCAGCCGCGGTGCTCTGCCGAGCACAGGCAGTGCAGGGACGATTTGGGGAGGCACCGACAGCACCGGGAACCTGCCCTGGACCAAGCCGGAGCTCACCGCGAGGTGCTGAACGCGGCTGTAAGCGTGGCCGCCCGGGCGGAGGGGGAGCAGGCAGCGGGAGAAAGGGGTGGGGGGAGAGCCACGGGACACTCTTGCAGGCGACGTGCCCACGGGAGCCCACCACGAGCCCCCGGCGAGGTCCCCTCACCGCTCAGCACCCGGGGGGCTTCATGGCACCCAGCTGCTGAAGCTGTGCCAGGATTCCCCGTGGGCACGGGGAGGGGGAGAAGGTCCTTCCCGACCCCCACGTGCTCCTGTTGGCGTGGGGCGGCAGGAAGGGCTCTGCCGGGCGGGCACCGCGCCGCAGCGTCGTGGTGCTTCCTCCTTCGAGGCCGCAGAGGGAAGGAAAAATCTCCGGTTGTGAAGGGGGGGGATCGGAAGGAAAGGCACCCACCAGCCGTAGCCGCCGAAGGAGACGCTGCGCTTTCTCTGGAACATGGTGGTGGCTCGGTGCTGCCAGGGCGCTCCGGCCATGGTGGGGGACGCGGGGCCGGGGTCTGCAGCGCCCACGTGCCAGCCGTGCACCGCGCAGTGCCGGGGCGGGGGGACCCCGCTGCCTCCCGCTCAGCCGCCCCCGGCGCAGAGGCGCACGCACCCGCGCACATAGACAAACACCAGAAGAAAAGTCATTTCCTTTTTGGGGTTGGTTTTTTGGTTGGTTTTTTTGTTGTTTTTTTTTTTTTTTCTGGGGGTTGGTTTCTTTTTTTTTTGGTGACCTCAGGCTTTTCACAACCTTACGCTGCAAATATCGTATTTCTCCTAATGGCAGGAGCCGCGGGCAGCGTGAGCCAAGCATCGTGCCATGGGGGTCCCCCCAGCCCACCGGGGCCCTGTGCAGAGGGTCACTGGTACCAACGCGGAGACCTGCCTCCCAGGGGGGCTCGTCCCCTCCTCTGTCCCCGAAATGCCGGGGCTGCATTCGCTGCACCAGGCTGGCTCCCTGGTAGGGGATCCTCCCACGGACCATCCCGTGTGTTTCACAGGACATCTCATTAAAAGCATTAAACATCAATAAGCAGAAATCCTGTCACCTCAGCTCTCCCCGCCGTCGCAGAGCCCAGTGAGGCATCTCCCACCCGGCCCCCACACAGGGTTTTCTCTCCTCCGGTTCCCCGGCAGCCCCCCAGTGCTGAAGTGTGTGTCTGCAGCCTGACCACCACCGAAAACCCCGTGGTCCTCACACAGCCAGGCTTCGGAAATCCCATTTAAATGGAAATGCTGACCTCTAGCTGGGTATGAGCTCCCATCAACCGCAAAGTCCCAAGAAAACAGGCTCGGATCCCCTGCATCAGCCTTCAGGCATCTCAGGGCACAGCAGAGCCCAGTGCCGGGGGGCTGTGCACTGTGCCCCCCCCCCAGCCAGTCACCCTGACCTCGCACCTCCCCAAACCGGCACCCGCACCCATCTGTGCCCACTCAGGCCTGGGCTGCGCCGGGGCTCACCCTCTGCGGGTCAAAGTCGGGAGGAAGGATGGGATCCCTGAGCACCCCTCGGCAGCCGGGGGGGCAGGGGGGGCCGCGGTGGGACTCGGTGCCGGTGACACCGGAGCGGAGCCTCACACCCCAGCCGGGAGGGGACGAGCTGCACGGCCCCGCATCGCCCACCGCCCACGAGGGATCCAGGAACCCGAAGCTCACTTCCCAAAGTCCCGCCAGTTTAAAAACCAGTGGAAAAGCCTCCAGC